CTTTAACATGTCCCGTCCGGCGAAGTAAACGCCGCCTAATCGTCTTGCCAATTATTGGACCAAATGTCACAACAAATAGAAACTCTTTAATTTCAATTTTCACATATTTGCGCCAAAAGTAATTTCTTCTCACTTAGTACATTTCGAATATTGGGGGTGAGAATAATACGTGGAATCCGTGACGCAATCAGATTTTTAAGTGATTTGAGGATTTTTTATATATATAATTGAGAATCAACAAAACTATATCATATGTAAAAAATTGTATATACAATATAGATGTCAAATTGAAACCCACGAAGACATGATTAATTGATATATCATATATAATCAAATAAATTTATAATTTAAGTTAGTAAATTTGTTATAATTTTGAAATAAAGATGAGGAAAAAAAACAATGGGAAAAAATTATACCTTCTAAACTACGTCTACAATAGGAAATGCTTAATTAATTCTCTTAAAAATGCTCATAAATATCTATTATAATTATGGATATTTCCAGCCTAGTTACTTTTGAATTGAAAATAAATTAAAATTCATCCAATCCAAACAACAAAGCTTAAAATTTTGCCACATAGGATTTCGAATTGTGCGAGTCTGTCACTTATACTCTGTACATTCAAGAATTATATATAGAGCAGACTCTATATCATGAATTAAAAATATCTGACGTTTTCAGTTCTATTTTCAGATGTTACATACCTTTTTTTGAAAAAAATCATATCCAATTGCAACCATAGTATCTTCTACTTTTTTTTGGAAGAATAAAAACCTTTATAGATAATCAAAAGTTTACATCTCAAAACTAGCTAATCAGTTGAAAGAAGCAGTTATAGAGCTGAATCTAGTGGGAGGACAAACCCGAAGATTGCCTAGAAACTAACAAACTCCAACAGGAGACTACAAAACTTCCACAAGTTGAGACTACGAACAACTAGGCCTGTAAACAAATCAAATCTTTTTTATTCGATTCGATATTCGATATTCAAATTCGATATTTGTGATTCGAATTCGAATACGAATAATATTTTATTTTGGAAAGTTAAACGACGCCGAGTTTGAATTTGTAGATATTCGATTTGAAATGATCAAATATTTGATTTGTTAAATGACAATTATATAAATTTTATAAATTATATATAGTATACATTTTGTTTATAATATATATATATATATATGTATATTTATATTCCTAATAGAAATATTTGCCTTAAAAACATCTCAAATTGGATAGGAAAAACATAAATTTTCTAATTATAATACTTTTCTGAAAATGATTTTTGAATCGAATCGAATATGTTCAAATATTCTCAACGAATCGAATGTGAATAAAAAAATGAGTTCGTTAACAAATTAAATACGAATTCAAATCCTCAAATATTTTAACTAATCTGAATCGAATATCTTAGTATTCGTTTTGATTCAATTTATTTAAAACCCTACAAACAACACACTCCCTAAAGAAAATAAAAGAAAGAAAATACGCAAAAAGCACAGGAAAAGAATCCTAGTAGCTAGACTATACTATATCCCTCTCCACCTGCATTCAAGCTATTCATAGAATAAATAATTCATTTTATTTATTTTAATAATTAAAAAATAAATTACATATTA